GAAAGGCCCCCCCGTCTCCACGGCAACCGGGCTGTCCTAAGGGCGCCTGACTGCAAACCTCCCCGTCTCCAGGGTAACCGGGCTGCCCCCTCTAGGCGCCTGACTGGAAACCTCAGAATTCTGTCTGCTTCTTCTGCTTTGTTCCTGGTCATCCCTTCACTTTATTCCTGCAACCACAGCCCTTGCTTAATTAACTCCCTGCTCTCTGGTATTTTTGCTCCGTGACAGAATAAAATTTAGCTCAGACTAAGTCAAACTTTGCTTGCTCCCAGGGGAAGCTAAAATAGGTGAACCCAACCTGGGGATGTGGCTCACACAGAGCATAGTCAGCACAGATTGAAAGAAAAAAAAATAAATAAATAAAAACTTATGCAGAAACCAAGATTGTCTTAAAATTGTATGGCACTAAAACAAACCATGGCCTATAGAAAAATGTCCACAACAATACTTCGTACCCCAAATGCATATTCTAATCTATTGTAATCCAAGCTCTTTGGGTAGCAAGTAACAGAAACCCAACATAAATTAGGCATAGACATATGTAGTATAAATTGGTATTATAAAATTTTTTTAAAAAATGGGTTAAACAAGAGGAATGTTTCTTTATCATGCAAGAATCTTAGGAACCTTCAACATTTTTTTAGAGTCTTGCTAAATTGCGGAGGACGGCCTCCACCTTGAGATCCTCCTGCCTCAGCCTCCCAAACTGCTGGAGGTATATGTATGCATAAGTCACCACATCCAGCTGGATCTGTTTTCCTGTTTTGGGTACCCAGAATTGAATCCTGGGTTCTGAACCACTGAGCCACATTCCCCAGCCCTTTTTTGTGTTTTATTTAGAAACAGGGTCTCACTGAGTTGCTGAGGGCCTCACTTAGTTGCTGAGGGTGGCTTTGAACTTTCAAACTTTCTGTCAGCTCCCCCCCTGGTACTTTCTAAGGCCCAGTTTCCTTCTTTCCACACCCTTCTCTTGCCTCTCCCAGAGGCTTGGATCACCACCAATCCCAAGGAGGCTGCCAGAATAATGA